CTGTGATGGACTGGAGACCTGTCCAGGGAGTACCCCGCCCCTCGCACTGTGACTGCTGGATATGGGCACCAGTGACCCACACAACCCTGAAAAGGAAGAAGCGTGTACAGAAAATGGATGGATGGATGGTTAATTTTAGGTATGAGGGTCAGGGACAGGATGTCTAAAGTGAATAAAGGTAATTTTAGGCTTTGAGACGACAGTTTTTGTGCAGTTTCTACACTTTCAGAAATTATGCCAACAGATTCCGCCTCATCTCGTCAAAAACTGATGCAAAAGGAGTACCCGACGCGTCAAAATCCGACGCAGAGGGAACCTTGGAAAAACTGTCAATATGTGACGACGGGAGTGAGAATGGGTTGAGTATCCATTAAGTATACTAATTTTAAATTAAAAATAAAAGACTARACTTCCAGTTTACTTTTTAATATACTTATTTGGGATATACCTAACCAAGTTTATCTTACATTATGCTTGGATTGTACTAAAAGTTTATGRATACTTAGTCTATACTAATGTTTAAACTTTTGGCCAACGTAAACTTTAATAGTACACTTTTAACACAGTTTAAATGTTTTATTTGTAGTATTTTTCAAGATTAAACTAAAAGTATACTTAGAAGATTAGTATGTTTTCATAAACTTATTGTGGGCCGATTTAGTCCTAGAAGTATGCTTGTTAGTAAACTGCTAGTATACTTATATTAGTGTACATGGTAAATAAAAGTACACATTGGGAAATAAACTTTTATATACTTAGTGACGTGCTTAAAGTATACTTATTTTTGGTAAGTTTATAAACTTAAAAAGACATTATAACAGTATATTTAAAGCACACTTTTATAAACTAGAAACATCCCAATTTAGTACGAACAAGTATTAAATCAGTATACTTTCTAGTACACTACAAGTACATGGAGCCTAGTACACTTGATATACACTTATATTCAAGTATACTTATTAAAATGAACTTCAAGTATACTACTTTTTGCTAAACCAACATAAAAACCCAAACCACAGAAAATCACAAAATATAAAACCACCATTTCTAAAGTAGCAGAAAGCCATTAAAATAATAAAGTCCTCCACAAAAACCCAAARATTAAAAAAAACTACCAGAGAAACAAAATGTCTCAGTTCTTCTGGTTTATCAACATGTTGTGGGTCATCCTGACTGGACCTGTGTTTGTCCACAGGTCTGGGTCAGGGGGTTCCTGTGGTGTGTCTCATCCTGGAAGGGGGTCCTAATGTCATCTCCATCGTATTGGAGAGTCTGAAGGAGGAACCGCCGGTCCCGGTTGTGGTTTGCGACGGCAGCGGTCGAGCCTCTGACATCATCTCCTTCGCTCACAGATACTGCGAGGAGGACGGGTCAGAACACGTCTCACTTGTGTCCACGCATGATGTTTGCAGGTCCAGTTTGTCCTCACCGTCCCGTCCCTCCTCTGCAGGCAGGTGAGCGAGAGCGTCAAAGATCAGCTTCTGGTCACCATCCAGAAAACCTTCAACTACAGCCGCAGCCAGGCGCAGCAGATCTTCCTCATGGTGGTGGAGTGCATGAAGAAGAAGGCTCTGGTAGGTCCGACGGCTCTGACTCATTCATCATGTTTGAGAAATCCTGCAGTGTTTTTATGAAGCCATGCTGAGGAGCAAAACAACAGGTTTGATTACGTTTTTCTTACAACATGGTGACCCCGTGACGTGACTGGTTGACCTGGGATAGCAGAGAACCATTAGATCTTTATTTTTGACCGCTGGTGAAGAAGCTGAGAAAACTTTYAGARGTTAACTGCTGAGACYGAGGACAGCCAAGCTTTCGAGATGCCTCCTTTRTTTTCCAAAGAGGGTTTTAGCCAGCTTCTCCAGACGGTGGTGATGTTGGAAGTTAAGATTAATCGTTTAGAGGAGATGAATGTTTTGAGTGAGATAACACGTGCACTAAACAGTGAGAAGGCTGAGTGTGAATATCAGGATGTGGAAGAGYCAGGAAGTGGTTCTAGAAGCAGGCTGTGCTGGAACTCTCTTGCACAAAACAAATCTTTTAGGGAGAATTGACGAAACCGGACGGCCGATTCTACAGAGATCTCTCCCCAGTGCCAAGAAGCAAGTTCAAGTTCAAGTTTATTTATAAAGCTCCAAGTCACAACATACGTWGTCTCAGGACACTGTACATAAAAAGAACAATGTAAAGAAGAAAGCAGCAGATTGTGTTGAATCACTTCATCACAGTCTCCCATCCTGAGCAAACGGTGGAGAGGAAAAACTCCCTGCTAATCAGGAAGAAACCTCCAGCAGAACCAGGCTCAGGCTTTTGTTGATTTTTCAGTCCAGGTTTGAAGGTAGAGAACCAGTCTGAGTCCCTGTCTGTCTGCTGTGATAAAAGAAAACCCATTGGCTGTGTCAAAAACGACAGGCCGGGTCCTCCGGAGGACCC